GTTGATGTAATGATAGGTTAGAATTTTTTCTAACCTCGTGCATCTTGTGCTTGTTTTTGATTGATGGGGCATATTGTGGTGGTACTTGGTCGCTGTTTTGCTGTTTAAGAGTACAGGACATTGCCACCTCTGCACCCTATCATATTGGCTATCCCGCCAGCCAAGTAGCTAAGACGGTATGAGATTTGTTTCACTGTACTTTATCATTAAATTGCAGTTTATATGATGTGCATATTAAATTTCCATTGTATGAGACACGAGTTGCTGAACGATGCCGTTTTGGAGGATTATGAACTTTGAAATAGAGTGTTTGCTTCATACACCACTTATGGCGCATTTAACAAACGATTAACCTCTAACATTGTTTGAATTATATAAAAATAGAGTTCAAATAGTATTTGGGTTGGTTCAACTCTTTAAAAATTTTAAGGGTCCATTTGATAAAACTGAAATCTGAAATTTGAATATATTAAGTTGTTGAATTGTTAAACATTAAATTTAATACATTTGAGTGTATATTACATTCAGTGATAAGTGAGTAACTTATCACTTAATTTTGAGAGTAAGTTTTGTTTAAAAAATTCAATGTTACTTAATTGATTTAGATGTTCAATTTTTAGTTATCAGACGATATGGATATGTGAAGATATGATTTCATTAAATTTAAATGTTGAATTGGGTTATTAAATAGGGTTAAGAAAGAGTTTGACAGGCTGACTTAGCTCTTTGTATGGGAGCAAAATAAATAAATAACTAAATGAGGACCAAGTTCAAAGAAATCAAAAGGAAAAAGCCGTGCAACTACAATATTATAGTAAGGCACTTAAATTGTTCCAAACAAATGGTGGACCAAACACCAACTAAAAATGAATTAAAAGTTTGATTTTAGTCTGACATTCTCTAAACAATTCAATTATAATTTGATTTCGAGAAGGCCAATAAACACATCAAAACAAGAGTTTTGTATTTTCTTTTGTACCTATTCTGTGATGTGATCTTACGAAATGAAAAAAAAAAAAGTGGCTAAAATTTTTTTAGCAATTTGTTTAAATGAAATTTTTTTTTGTGTGTGTGTTTATATTGAGAATGACAAATTCCTATTTTTCACATAACGAAAAATGTTTCAAATAAAATTGAGCAGTCCACTAATTTTACATGGAATACAGTTTGAATAAAAATGTGGGGTCATTACTTGTTTAATTCGCGTTATTTTATTCGTTAAAGGCCAACTAATTCGGCCGTCGGTCCGGCCTGTGACAAAATTCTTCCTCTGTTGACTTGCTGCTAGAGGAATTATTACATTGTAGTAAACTTTAATACTACTAAGAAGAATGGTACGATAGACATCACCTCACAATGGGCTTCTTACTACAATGTAATAATTTTACATAGAATTAGTAATCCAATCTTGTGTTATCCCACGAATCACACGAGCCTCCTGTAATGCATTAACTTTGCCTAACTTACAACGGAATTAGACATTTATTACATTGCAAATGCCTGTTCTCGATATCATTTTCCAAATTTTTAGGTCATTGTGGAAATGCTAATGACATCACGGAGCAAAGGCTATTTGTTCTCTATTTCAAGGGCATATTTATATGGTTGATATTTGGACTATCGTCACATTTAGCATCATTCCCATTTTATCAAGCATCTCTGCTTACCGTTTTATCGTTGGTTGGAACTTTGATGCCTTTCCTGCCTGATTCAGGTAATTTTGCCTTCGTTGTAATCTCGAATTGACTTCAATCTGTTGAAAAAATTTTAAATTCCTGACATGGCCTTGTCTCTTAAGAATATGGCAAGACACCATGTTGTTGAAAGGTTAAATTGAATTTATCCGTATTTGATAGAGGGAGTTACGTTAGCCAGCTACTCCTAATGGTGGATTAAACTGTCATGAGAAAAGTCTTGCCCTCTCTGTCTTGAGTCAATTGCTGGGCATTAAAGATATATACCTACTGGTTGGTAGACCAAAACACATATTGTTTAGGCACAAAATTGAACTTTATTGAAGGAATTTGAGAGATTAATGATGAGATGATGAAGAGAGGGATGATTAGGAAGAGAAGAAATTGAAGAAAATTAGGTGAAAATCAAAAATAAAAGAAATGAAGAAAATTGGAGTCTTGATCTTGACTTGAGTCGACTATAGGTTGCAACTATCCAATTAACACTGCGTATCATAAAACATTGGATAGTAAAGATATGTGTATCAATAAAACTTTTGACTTGAGTCGACTATAGGTTGCAGCTATCTAATTAATACTACGTATCACAAAACATTGAACGGTAAAGATATGTGTATCAATAAAACTTTTTTTTTTTTTGTGTGTGTCAATAAAACATTGGATGGTGCTAGTTACAAAAGAGGACAGCCGTGTTAATATCTACCTGTGTACTCTCATCTAGCCACAGGGGAAAGCTTGAATCCCATCTAACATGAGAAATTAGCTGCAGAGTCATTAGAGCAAGATTATGAGCCTATCTATTCCTTGTCCTATATACAAAAGAGAAGGTACAGTGAACAAATATCTCACTCAGCATTAATATCCTCTAGAAGAGTCGCTATGGTGGGGACTTCCTAATTCGTTACTTATACTTTGTCTATGATATTTTTGTAGTGTGATTAAATCTCAATCTGTTGCCATCCTGCCTCATTAGCCATGATTAGGGCCATCCTTATAGCATCACCTTCCTCTACTATTGCATAACCTTTATATTGTTTTTGTATCTCCCAAGCTCTGTGACCACTTTTCTAGTCTAATTCCTTGCTACAATGCTCGATCCTGTTCTGATCATACTTGGTGAGATAGCTGCATTTGTATTGATCTTGATTGTCCCTTCAAGTGGAGGAGTCCACCGTCGTCATGGCGAATTCGCTTTATCCGGTATCAAGCGGGGGCTACGAGCAAAACCACTCACTTTGAGCCTTTTCTATGACTGATCTATATAGTCTGTAGCCATTAAACTGATACTCATTTCTTGACTTCCGGATTTGCCATGGTATGCTGGCTGTTAAGGTAATATGATCTTGTCCTTGCTGTCTGGCATTTCACTGAAAATAATCCCTCTCACCATCTCCAAAAGTTACCTCTTAAATCCCCCGGTCTATCCTACATTGAAATTGGGAATTGTGAAGAAACTATACTGGCAATTAATCATGATTCACCCGGGAGTAAATTGAAAAATTAAAGAATAACTGGTGAGTGATGTTGAATTCGTCATTTGGGACTGCTGGGCACAATATGAAAATACATCGACTTCTTTACGGGCCGAAAGCAATGGTCAATAAAAATTTATGAAAGTTTCCACTCTCATCATTTCACGTAATGGCGCTGCTGTACTTGAATACTACTGCCATATCAATCCGGTCAGCTCCTGAAGAGAGTGATTGATATTCCCTTTCGCAGTTCCAAAACGGCAAACATGGAATGGAATCCCCAGATTAATGTCCCCACAGCTTTAATAAGTGGTACTACAGTACTACTAAACTGCTGGTATTTGTCTGCTCCAGCCTCCAGCTTAAAGTGCACTAGAATAATGGTGAAGACCACGGGCAAGGCTTGAAGATTTTGACCCCCACAATTATATTATATTATTCGTAACGTTCACGCAATAGGTAGGAAGAAGTAGACAAATCATACCTTAGACTTAAAGGCCATCCCGCATCCGGGACGGGACCTCCGCAGAAACAAAAGAAGGAATATGACTTACTTACTTGACCGCTGAGGCAGGCAGATTACATTTAACTAGCTGTTTAAAACGTACTATCACTTAACCAAAGTCTATTATTATTAACTGTCTGGTCAAAGTCAAACAGAAAAAACCAGGAATAAAAGTTCAAAAAGAGCCTTCAAGAACCACGTCTAGGGATGGCAATGGGGACGGGTGTCCGCCCCGCGGGGGGCTCACGGGGAGGGGGTTGGGGCGGGGGAGGGGGGAAATTTTTTCCCCCCACTTAGAAACGGGGCAGGGGGCTGGGGTATACTCCCCCGCCCCATCCCCCGTCCCGTCACCCACAAAAAAAAATATATATATATATATATATATAAATGACTATATATTATATGTAAGTTAATTAGTTATAAACTTATGATAATGATATTATTAGTTAGATGTATTATATAATGTATATTAGTTTATGTAATATAATTGATAATATCAATTATATGAATAATTATACATGTCTACTAATAGAATTTATTAATTAGTTATACTAAATTTACTAATACATTTATACTAAATTTCTAATTACACTTAATAGAATAACACTTTTTTCTCAAAAAAAAGCACAAACACAATGATGAATTAGTGATTGCATTTGTACTAAAAGTGAAAATTTGACTATTTTAGTTATATTTATTTCATCATATTGGATTGTATTCAAATAACTTCTGTTTGATTGTTTTTATGAGTTTCAATTGTAAAATTACAATGAATAATAATTTGGTGATGTGTTGATATTTTAGTACTTGATTATTTATTAAAATTTAATTATAATAAAATTTTATTAACCCGCGGGAAAAGCGGGGCAAGGCGGGGCGGGGGGAGTGGGAGGCGGGGGACGGGGGGAACTAATAGGCAACGGGGCGGGGGACGGGGGAGGGGTTCCCCACCCCAACCCCGCCCCGTTGCCATCCCTCCACGTCGACACAAACTAATCCCAATTAAAACAAAGGTTAATTAGTACCGTACAGACGGGCCAATTGGATTGCAAGGCTATGGTCTGCGGGTCTCCGGTCTCGGGTTGAAAATATATATTCCCATAGAATAATACGAGACCATGAATCAGGATATTTGATGATGCTGCTGCTGCTGCTGCTACAGCTATAGCTATACTGTGGATCTGATCATTTGTCCCTGTCCTTCTAGAAGAATTTGTAGCCCAGATTTGGTATTGTCCCCATCCTTCCTTTTTCCCTTGGCAGAATCACACGCCACTTCCTCTTGTCTATAAAGAGTAGCAATACCCACTTCTACAAAAAAACAACGTTGTGACGGTCCAGTTCCCTGCACAATCATTCATCATCCATCCTCCTCAACATCTCTCCACCTTCTAGAAAGGCTTCAACTTTATTCTGCCTTTCACTTTTCTTTTTCTTTTTTTTCAATCTGCGTCAAAAAAAACTAACAAACTCCACTTTCCACTATTTATAAAAGCCCGTCTCTGCTTTCCAAATCCTACAACAACCATATTATCATCAAGCAAAACAAAAAATATGGGGCTTCTTCCGGGTCTTCCAGATGATGTCGGACTCGAATGTCTTGTACGTGTCCCCTACGATCATTTCTCCTCTGTTGCATCCGTGTGTAAGAGTTGGAAGCTTCAGATTCAGCAGCCTGAGTTTATGCGCCGAAGGAAAGCCGCGGGCTGTACAAGCACGGTCATTGTCATGGCCCAAGCGCATTTCGACCCGACCCGAAAATCCGGATCCGTGAAGCTGCCCGCCACCCCGGTTTACAGGCTCACCCTTTGTGAACCCGAAAACGGTTACTGGACTGAGCTTCCACCGGTGCCCGGATACACCGAGGGGTTGCCTATGTTTTGCCAGCTTGTCGGGGTGGGGTTGAACTTGGTGGTCATGGGCGGGTGGAACCCAGATACATGGGAGGTTTCTAACGCTGTTTTTGTCTATAGTTTTTCTACTGCTTCGTGGCGGCGGGGGGCTGACATGCCAGGTTGCCGGAGATCATTCTTTGCATGTGCGTCGGATCTTAAGCGGACGGTGTTTGTCGCCGGCGGGCACGATGATGAAAAGAATGCATTGAGCTCAGCTCTGGCGTATGACGTGGCAAAGGATAAGTGGGTACAATTGCCTGACATGGCAATGGAACGTGATGAGTCAAAGGGAGCTTTCCAAGGTGGCAAGTTCCATGTCATCGGTGGCTACCATACAAACATGCAAGGTAGATTCACAACAAGTGCAGAATCGTTTGATCTTTCTACTTGCCAATGGGATCCAGTCCAAAATGACTTCTTGGATATTGCCACGTGTCCCCGGACCTGTGTTGGTGGCGCCGGAGATGGGAGATTGCTTATGTGTCGAGATGCTGACGTGGCAATTCTTCAGAATTCCAAATGGCAAGCTGTGACTCAGCTTCCGGCAGACATAAGGAACGTATCGTATGTGACAGCGTGGCAGGGGAATCTACTTTTGATAGGCTCTCCCAGATTCAGTGAGCCCCACAAGATTTACATGTTGGACTTGCAGAGTTACACGTGGACAAAGGTTGAGACACGAGACGGTTTCTCTGGCCATGTTCAGTCAGGCTGCTGTCTACAAATGTGAGCATTTGCCACTGCTGATTATTAGTGTTGCTTGCAGAAGAGATGACTGTATATATGCTATAAAGAGATTTTTGTTTCTACTAGCGCCCGAGTTTTGTTTAGTACCGCACCTTAAGTCTTCCCTAACAACAAAAAGTTCTGCATATTTGATGGTTCTCTCCAAGATCAGGCATTAATCGTATTCTCTAGATGTTTTAACTTTGAAGCCTCAGATAGGCTGAATAGGCAGCCCCGAGCAGCGGGTAGCCAAATTGCATCATGTAGCCGCTAAGATACCTGCTGCAAACCTTCCTCTAATCCTCTGGAGATGATGCAAATTTTCCGTTGTATCATTTGAATCCAAAATCTACTGAAAAGACGCCTCAAATGAGAGATAAAAATGGAAAGTGAGTAAATACACTTCGATGGTTTTTCCATGTGCCATTTGGAGGTAAAGATTTATCTCATGGCATTAGCCATATAACATCACTTGAATGGCTTGATTTACTCGTCAATCCGTTTTTGAATTGATCCCAAAAGCACCTCGCAGGAATGGATGATAATACAATCATTACAATAAATCGTTTGTGGGGCTACAGATTTCCTGTGTAAGATTCTATATGCCTAATGGTCAAAAAAATGAAGATAAACTCTAGCGTGTGCTATTTTATCCTCATGCAGCTGTAGAGGACCTCTCCAAATTTCTTGAACAGGTGTTTCTTCAAGTACATTTTTTCCACTTTCTTTCTTCCTTCTGTTCCCATTTGCTTTCTTGCCGATGGATTCTCAAGCAAGTACTGAATATCTTTGGCGAGAACTTGAGCCCCTGGACGCCCCAAAGGATGGAGAAGACCAGTTACGTTGTGTTCAACAATCTCCTTTGTGCCTCCAGAATCAGTGCCCAGCACCTGTAACACAAGATGAAGTCAGTACTTGAAAGTAATTGTCAAATTCATTTTCGCCGGCATGAACACTTTCTTGATTCTTTCTTTAATTCTCCTAGTCACTTTCAAAGGATGCCCAGCGATTTGTTCCTGATAAAAGGCTTCTTATACTTAACTATCACCCCCTTGATCCCCAAGGAAGCAGGGATAGAAAGGTTACTTGCTTTAAAGCCAATAAATAAGTCACAGCCATGCAAATGGTCTTTCTATGTGCTAAATATTTTTAATTGCTTGTGTTCATATCTACTTGCCAAAGCATTTGACATTACCATATAACATGTTTCAATCGAAATCCCAACCTGAGAAAACTCACACATATTCCATTGGCAGGTAAGATTTGATTGCATAAGTAAGAAACTAGAAGCATGTATAATAGATCATCATTTCGTTCCATTTCTATAATTGTGCGCTTGACTGCAGTGTTTCAAATATCCAAGTACTCGAAGAGTGAAAATAGCAAATCAATGGAGGCAGGGAAAGAAAAATTCTGTGTTCATACCGGAAGACCAAATGCCATTGCTTCAACAGTTACTCTTCCAAAAGTTTCTCCAAGTCCCTGCATACATTTACACAAGGTCAAATTTTAAGATAAACATGAGACCACCTTCAAGTTAAAACCGTGAACAGACTAAATTATAATTGCATCTCTTTCACTAGGAGGACGCATGCAGAAAAGAGACATTCACATTATTGTTACTACAAGGACTGTAACAGTTATCTGAACGTTATTCACTCAGAAAAATTAAGGAAAGACAAAACTAGGCAATTGAAACCTTTAAGGGAAATGGAGGAGTAGAAGAATATCTATCATGCTAATTAAAGCAGCATAGTAATACCATAAGTGCTTTCTAGACCAGATTTATTCCCAAAAAAACACATCATCTTCAAATTTTTAAAGGTGATAATGGCCCAATAAAAACATTTTTGGAAACTTCAGCTGAATTTTATCTAGGTATGAGAAACATTTCAAAAATAAATAAGGGATAGACAGTTCTACAAAGAAATGGTTGAGGCCCATAAACCGGTCCAAACATGGACGTAATCGTATAGGGATTCCAGATGGGCAGTGAATCTAAGTTCACTTGAGAATTTTAGAGTAGATAACAAATCAATCAATCACCATAATGGAAGAAACTTGGGATTAAATTACTTGAATATACACAGAAACTTCAGTTGGGTTTGCATGCAAACTGGACTAAAGTGATCTATGAAGATGATTACCTGGGCATTCATCACATATACATCTGCTGCAGCATAGAGAGATGCCACACGCGTGGTTGCTGGAGTCCATAGTACTGATTTAGATAAGTTCGTGTGATGAGATAGAAATTCGAGAAGTGTTTTAACATAAGTCACTTTATTGCTCTTGGATCCTACTGAACCAATAAGAATCTTGAGCCTCTGTTTCTGCTTTGTTTCACCATTAGCCAACAGTTTCCTCAGACTGTAATCACCATAAAGTGTTGTGGCATAATGTGTAGGAAGAGTGTTCTCTCTTGATCTAAACTTTGCCGAGTATCCCTCAGAATGGAATAACTCAGATGAGGATTCTCCAATTTTGAGCCCCTCTTGAAGAAGAGTCCTTGCATGATAATTTCGACCTCTCTTAACTGAACCTTTGATTGTGGAACTGTTCACAGCCATGCGTTGTTCAACCACCATGTGTGCTGATTCAAGAAGCAAGAATTGACCTTTTCCAGGGTTAATACTACTTAAAGACACCACAAGCATGTCATCATCTGTCAATCCCATCTCCTTTCTTACTGAACTTCTCAATAGCTGCCTCTTTTCCAGCATCTTCTCAGTGCTAAATGCTGGAGTATTGAGTGAGCAAGAAATGCCAGCCACAAAAGCCAGTTCATCATTAACAGAAAGGGGGATGAGTTCAGGCGGAGACTTTAACTTGATCTTTTCTTCCTCACACCAGGCTAGCCACTGTTTAGACTGCAACTCTGACAGGAAAATAAGCCTTTTCACATGGTTGAGGGCAAGCTTTGCACGATCAAAGTACTCCCGCCTGTTTTCCATGATCCACCAAGCAATTTGACTGGCACCAAGGACAGTATGTTCTCTGTATTTTTCTGCAATTACAGTAACAATCATCAATTGTAATCTGCACCAGAAAAAGAAACAAGAGAATGTGTACTTCTGGGAAGGGGGAAAAATAAGATACATTTTCAGCTTTTTAGACGGTTAGAAAAGGTAAAGAAAGGACATAACTTTGTTCAGAAATAAAATACAGGAAGGAAGATGAAAAGGGAAAGAGACATCGCATTAGTTTTGCTTTCCCTCCAATTTTTCTCCTTGCATTTCCTTTGAGATCCCATGAGCTAAACCGCCTAAGAGTTGCATCAGTATTAGACAGTTAGGAAAAAAAATCTTATGCTAAATCATACTGAAAGGTGATACTGCCCATTTCTAGCAAGTTAAATTTATTCAAGTTTACTTCCAAGTGTTTTGCTATTAAGAATCCACTTGGTAGTTATGCAAATTGCAAGTAAAAATGATAAACACAGAGAAAACCAGAGGTGCAAAACATATCTAAATGAAGCAGAAAGGTTGTTAAACAAGTTGTACAAGAACAAACAAGTGGACTTAAGAAGTATGGACTTGTAGCATTCATATATAACCAACATAGCAGGAATAGTGCTCACCGATCCATGATGCAGAAACTGCCGACCCTGCAATGATGAGATCAGCTTTCATGGCAGTTTTGAAGCTAAGATCCAATTTGTCCTCGAGCACTTTGATCTTCCTTCTAGCAAGCTCTGGCATCAATCCACCCCTCTTGCTAAGAACAACCACAGAAACTGTGGCCCCACAGCTCAAAAGCTCTGTTGCCAACTCCATCATTGCAAGTGGAGCTCCAGTCATCGAAAGCTCATGGAATATCAAAACAAACTTTCTAGACCAAACTAGACGTGCAAACTGACCCTTTCTGTTGCAGGTTCCTAACCGCTTTTCGGGAGTCCATTCCAGGATACCGTCTTCTATTGAGCCAAATGGACCCACTATCAGGCCATAAGTAGAATTTAGCATAGGAATTTCCACTTCCTGCACATCAACTTCAGATTCTTGGACCTCTACAACTTCTTTCTGCTTAACTCGGGACTTGTTACGTGAACCACGTCTTGATCTCTTTCTGCTCTTCTTCAAAGATACACTCTTACGACTTGGATTAGCATTCCCACTTTTGGCCATAATTGCATCTGAAATTCTCGAAAGGGACTGGTTTTTAGATAGCACAGCCTTAGAATCAAGATAATCATCAGTTTCAATCAGATCTCGGCGATCCTTTGGCATCACCTCAGTCTTTTCATTCTGTGGTTTGAGTTCATTTATTTCATCGGTCCCATTGCCACCAAACATCCCTTCCTTGTTGTCCCCATGAGCCCACCTAGACTGAATATAAAATCCGCCGTAGGTCCAAAGGGTGATCAAAAGCAGCCAAAGCACTATCCTGTTGTTTCTGAAATATTGACTACTAATTCCACCTCTGCGTGGAGTACGCCCAGAGCCAACTCTCCTAAATGAAGGGGAACCTCTTGGAGTTGATTTTCCAGATAACGTAGATTTCAAGCCACCTGGTCTCAACGACCACAATCTACCATTGCTTTCCTCCATCACTCAAATTGTAGTCCACAAGCAACCCCAGTCCTTGTTAAACATCACTTCTACAGAATCAATCCATCAAATCCGACAAATTATACAGTAAGCAAATCCAGGATCAGCAGTCATCCCTTTAACCACTTAGCTTCTTAAATCTACCATAGAAAGTGACGCACAGTCTTTTAGTTCCAGTCTATAAACTCAAAGTACGCATCATAGATTACCTTCCTTCGTATCTCATACTGAAGTAGAAATATAAAACATTTAAAACTTCAAGTCCACGAATTATAAGAGTTTATTCCCACTGCATCCAATGGGAAGTTACCGAAATTGTCAAATCCTAAATTAGGACGGTTGCAAGGGCAGCACTGACAAGGAAAGTCAAGCAGTAGAATTGTTCGACTTTCTACTTGAATAAATGGTAAAAAAAAAAAAAAACAGGGGTAAAGGAAGTGAAATAACTGAATTCAAGCCCTAGGAATTACCGTAATTCAAATTATATAAGAATTGAAGGGAGAAACGCTAGCTGGAAGTTGAGATTCAAATCCCCAACTTCTAAGTCAAAAGCGAGCGAGCTAGGAAGTGATCTACTTCACTTGGAACCTGAAAATGCGGAATTTGTATCAACAGCATGCCATTCTTCCCTCTCGGTAACTAGAAATATAATTGTGCAGCTTCAATCTTAAAAAAAATTAAATAAGTTCCAGTAATTAACAAAAAGCAAATTCGAGATCTTACTTAGAATTTTCACAGAGGAACTGAAAGAATGCGGAGTTCGATACAGGTACCGACATACATTGCTCATCCGTCACGAAGCTTTCCAGAAAGAGAGAATGAACCGAGGTAGGAATGAATTAGGGAAACCAAAAAAAATAAATTTTATCAGTAAATGCTGTGAGTTGAGTAGTGACAAGAAGTAAGCTAAGACATGAGGTGAAGTCTGAGGGCGGAGAGAGAAGTTTGGGGGAAGAAGGAAGATGGCACGTGATCTGCTAATTATAGCAGTGCTTAACCGGTTAATTGTACTTTTTTTCAAGTTTTAGCTCCCCGTTGAACTTTCATTTCAATTACTAGTAACTTAAATTGGGATTGGGTTAAACTAACGAATGATGCAACTCTAGAAAAAAGAAATATTGGGGATTTTCATGTATTTTTATGTTGTGAATTCATTTTATCTCTCCGAGAAATTTACATAAAAAAAATATACAACTGCAAAGCAAATAACTAAAATTAAGGTTTCAAAAATTAGAAATTCTAAATTTTAATTTTTCATTTTTACTCTCTTCTTGCTTCTTAAATTCCATCTATCCACCACCTCCTGTTGGTATTTTTTAAAAAAAAAAAAAAAAAAAAAAAAAGATAGCTTCTTGATTGAAGAATTTGAAGCATTGACTATTTTGCTAACAAAAAAAAAAAAAAAAAAAAAGAGGAAGAAGAATTGCGTGTTAGTCCCATAAACTTACGAAGCTTTGCTTATCATCGGTTTTAATTTATTTCGTGATAAGTGACAGTACTACATTGCTTATGGGAAAGGCTAAACCTTATCAGCTGAAATATAAAAATGATTTCTCCCATGTCCCCTTTCATAACTCACAGTTTTTTGTATGAGTGTTTCGATAAATGGACTCTGCGAAGACACTTCAAAAGCCGGCAACTTTTGAAGTGCTCCGCAGCACTTAACTACTAAACCCCCCAAACCCCTGTGGGAACTTATTGCTGAGATTGGGTTAAACTCACAGTTTTCTCATTCTTTTGAAGTGCAGCACTTAACGCGATCTTATTTCTCCCATGTCAATATGAGAGATTCTCATATTGCATTTAATCATTGTGATTGTTAACAAGTCTCATCTGCAGCAAACGTCATCTTATTTGTTGGGAATCGGTGACCAGCCCATATTATATTAGTATATTATATTACGTCCACCACCGGCGTATTTAATTACGCCCACTATTCCTGCGGAAAGTCATCCGATTATATGGCATACCGATAAGGGAGAACTGCACAAGTAATCCCTCACATATTATAAATGTGAAAATTTAGTCTCTCAGATTGAAAATAATTAATTTTAATCCTTAGCAAATAAAAAATGATCAATTTAAGTCCCTTTTCACCTTTCCGACTGATTTTTGCGAGGCAATATCTCACGCGCACACCATTTGACCAACTTTTCAAGGGTAAAAATGTCAAACCATTTATCTGTTGACCAAAATCAAAATGTAAATGACGAATACTTTCCAAAAAAAATCTCCATTTTGATACTAACTCACCGTTCCATCTCCGTTCCTCTCAACCCAAAAAGAAATTTAATTATCACTACCCAGCAGTGGACTGATTTTGATGAAAAGAAGCGTTGGTGATTAAAGCGAAGAAGAAACAAGCGTACCAGAGTGATGGACGAAAAAAACATTCAATGAATCCCGAATTACAGTATGTATTTCTAAACCCTACACTGTAAAATTTATGGAATGATGTCAGATACTGTGTGAATAGTTTAAATACATTTGCAATAAACATGATTTGTGCAGTTAAGAAGTATTATTATATTGATTAGGGTTGCTGGTGGTCTATTTTATGTATTAAATTGTTGTAAGTACATGTGGTCCCTTGTATTGTGTTGTGTTGTCGCTTTACATAGATGAGCGATCGGTCCCAAAATAATTTTTTTGTTGTTAACTGTCTCCTAAATGGTTGGCAGATGGTATGAATCGATTTTCCATTAAGGTCCACTATAAAGGTGAATTCACTGAGTTGCCGAACAAAGAATACCGTGAGGATAGTGTAAAAATTGTTGACTATTGCAATCCTAACAGATGGTCTATATGTACACTTGATAGGGTTGCAGAAAAACTAAGTTATCCCGAGTTTAGTGTAATATACTATTATTTAATACCCGGAAACAGCATGCAGGATGGGTTAGTGTATGTGTTATGTGAAGATGTTGTTCAAGATCTGGTTAGAGACGGAGTGAAATATGATTTAGTTGATGTATACTTTGTGCACTTAAAAACCTACTCCATAAGTGAATATGAAGCTGGACCATGTAAACCAAAAGAGAGGACTGATCCTAAGGAAAATCAACAGGGTGGTAAGGTGCATGAAAAATCTTCTGATGTAGAAGAAATAGTGATGACTAATATTCCTGTAACTCAATCTGAAAATGAGGGTGAAAAGGATAGCATAGCTGCTGGTGAGTCTGGAGCTAATAAACACATAGAGGAAGCAGCTATAAGAGAGAAGAATTTAGGTGAAATGCTTTCAGAAGTTGACATTAGAGTTGCTGATAAAGGAGATAATGCAGTAGATATAGGAGGGCTGATCAGAATTTTAAAAAAGAACAAGATGGGACAAACTCAGAAGTACAGAATGCAGGAAAAAATGCACATTCTATTAGCAAATCACCAAAAGAGAAATCATTAAAGAAAAAATCTTTAACAAATAATGAGCAGGCTAAAAAAGTTGAGAGAAATAAGAAGAGTAAGAATGAGACACATGTTGAGGAAGATGATGAACCTGGTGATGGTGACAAATTCATTGATAGTGACTATGAGTTTAGTGATGAAGAAGACATAGTAAAATCTGTTAAAAACAGAAAAGCTGAATAAGAGAAAATTATCAAAAATTATAAATCAAATAAGGGTATAAAGGAGAGAACATGTCAAGTGAAGGGTGTTGAGATGGAAGAAGATGCTACTGACTCAGATGAATTTGATAATTGGTGTGACTCAGAAGAAGAAGATTAGCCAAGAAAAAGAGCTAAGTTTTCAAAATTTAACCCTGAAACTGATATGGTCGATCCCAAATTTGAGGTTGAACAGATTTTTACTTGTAAGCAATTGTTCATAAAGGCATGCAAGAGCCATAGAGTGGTTCACGGAAGGAAGATAAAGTTCAGTAAAAATGATGGCAAAAGAGCTATGGCTTATTACAAGGACTATAGCTGGAAAGTTTCTACAGCTGTTATGCTAGACAAAAAGATTTTTCAAATCAAGAGCATACAAGGTGAACACAGTTATGGGAGGACATTTGACCACAGACTAGCAAATTTAACTTTTCTGGTTGATAGATATAAAAAGGAGCTGGCTGTTATGGCTGACATGAAGGTGAGTACACTCACAGACAAAGTGAAGACTAATGTTAATGTCAATATCTCTAGGTGGCAAGCTTATAGAACCAAGAAAAAGACAAAAAATTTTGTTAATGGTGAACATGAAATCCAATATAACAAACTAAAAAACTATTGTAGGGAAGTAAAGAGGGCTAATTCTCACTCAAATGTTTTCATGACCACTGTTGAAGATGATGAGGGAGAAGATAGGTTTGAGAGGTTGTATATTTGTCTTAATGCATGCAAGACAGGCTTTTTAAGCGGTTGTAGGCCTGTTGTCGGGTTAGATGGCTGCCATCTTAGAGGACCTCACAGCAGTGTGTTGCTTACAGCTATAGGAATTGACCCCAATAATCAATTGTATCCCATTGCCTATGCTGTGGTGGAAATAGAAAATAAGCTGACTTGAAAATGGTTCGTGGGTGAATTGCTGAATAACCTCCAAATAAGAGATGAAAATCATTGGACAATTATTACTGATAAACAAAAGGTATGTTAGTGTATTTTTCTGGGGTTTTTTTAAGCTGAGTTTGCTAGTTTTAATTTGATAATCTATTTTCACTTTTTTATTTGTTGAAGGGACTGATTCAATCTATTCAAGAGTTGCTTTCAGATGTGGAGTATAGGACGTGTGTGAGACACATGTACAATAACTTTAAAAAACTACATGGTGGTTTGACATTAAATGAGAGAATTTGGGTACTTGCAAGAGCTCCTTACAAAAATCTGTTCAAGGCTTTGATGGAAGTTTTGAAAGCAGTTGATGAGGGTGCACTTCAATGGTTGCTTGACAACACAACACCGCAGCAATGGTCCAAAACTTACTTCAGAACCTCCCCTAAATGTGACATTTTATTGAATAATCTTTGGAGAGTTTCAACTCCAGCATTTTAGAAACAAGGGAGAGGCCTATACTAGGTATGTTAGAAACAAAACGACTTTATTTAATGGTTAGAATAGAGAATAAGAGGGAGTAGATGAAGAAGTATACATGAAAGGCATGTCCCAAAATTTTTAAAAAGTTGGAAAAGGTAAAAACAGCTTCTAATGCATGCATAGCTACACCTTCAGGGGACTGAAATTATGATGTGAGATGTATGTATGGGGATAGGTACACTGTGAATTTGGCTAGCAGAACTTGTAGTTGTAGAAGGTGAAAACTAAATGGCATTCCTTGTGCTCATGCAATAAGTGTCATTGCTTTGACAAAAGAGCCTCCCGAGAACTTTGTTCATGAATGCTACTCAAAAGAGGCCTATATGAGGGCATATAGGCCCATAATATATCCTCTCAATGGTGAGCATTTGTGGAAGAATTTGAAACAGGGGCTTGTTTTGCCACCTGAAACCATCAAGCTTCCTGGCCAGCCAAAGAAGATAAGAAGGCGATAACCAGATGAGCCACCAGCTACAACAACTTCTCAAGAACAAACAAAGAGACTGTCTAGAGTTGATCTAATGGATTATAAGTGCAGAAAATGTAAACAGAATTACCACAATAGTAGGAAGTGTCCAAGTAGTCATGATCAAGGAAATGTCCAGCAACAAGTTACTGTGGTTACAAGTAGTTCTTAGCCAAAACAGCAGACTCCTAACATTGTGAATCCTGGTGCAAACAAGCAGTCCCAATCTCAGCAGTCCCAAATTCAGCAGTCCCAAACTCAGCAGTCCCAACCTCAGCATTCCCAAAAAGATTACCGGCCTCAAAATGCTACTCCTATTGCAAACAAGCAGTCCAATTTCACACCTGAAACAGTTTTTGGTGCAAGTGGCTTGGAGACTGATACAAGTGACCAAGTCTTGTTTGATCTCATCAGTCAAATTCCAGATCAACTCACAACAAGTCAACCATCTACTCCAACATGACAACAAAGAATGCACCATCTCCAGTTCATGTTTCTCTATTTGTTCATACTAATAATAGCATGTTGACTCCTTTCTATACTATTATTTACTTGAATTTCTGGTTGCCAATTGTCAGGGTAAGAAAATCAAGTACAGATGTGGTATATGTTGAAGATTTCAACACACTCGAAGTAGTTGTGATTCAAAATTGGCCTCTCTCTATAGGAGACACCTATGGGAACCACATGGATTGACTGTAAGTATTGTCTACTACATGCATAATCTAAAGAAGACTGCAAAGATATCTACTTCTAAAAGTGTTGCAAAGATGGCTCAAAAGGCCTAGATGACTACAGCATGTTATTGCAAAAAAGGATGACTGCAAAAGATATTTACTTCTGAAAGTGCTACAAATGGATTATTTTTCACCTTTTTGCCTTATATTCGACTTCAGCGGACTTTTTTTTGGAGCAATGGAATTGATTTTTTAATTCATTGCATTTTTTTTTTTATAAGAGGCGTATTGTAATGAATGTATTTGGCTCGATTATGTGCTATTTTTTCATTGCAATGGAATGCATGCTGTTCTTATTTTTGAAGGGACTGATTATTGGTTCACTTTTTACTCTTTCTTCGCTTATAATATCGCCATTATCATCTTCATTATCTTTCAAGCTAGACTTTTATTCTATCTTATGTTGTAAGCTCATATTCAAGAAAAAATCACAATATACCAGAGAGAACTTAAGCTTCATTATTACATTCCAACTCTTATTTGTACAATCAATAGGGCCACTAAACATAACCCAACCTAAATACAGCAAATAAAAGCCACCCAGTTCCCAGTTCACCACCTGCGCCAACAAATGCTAGTTACAACTCAATCTTTACTCAACAAATTCTGCACTACGAAAACAAACGCTGCAAACAGCAACAATTTCATCATTTTCTCCTTGCGTCTTGTTTCTTCCAACTTTGCCTCCAATTCTCTTAATCTCTTCGTCAATTTTATTGTGTGTCTCACTAATTTATTGCACCTCTCACAACTGTCTGTATCATACTACTTGAAATAGCCACAGTCGCCGCCACCATTATGCTGTTCAAAATTATCTCTTCAAATCTCACATTTTCTAAAAGAAAAAAGAAACAAAAATCAGGCACACTTACTTCATAGTAAGCGCAACCATAGAACCTCTTTCCTGGATTTTCAGCTGTCCACGACGACTTCACCCTAGCTGGTACACCGCAATTACAAGTTAGTAGTTTTGCCATGGAAATAAAGCTTTGCTTTTAGATTTGGTTGAAATGAAGAAGAAGAAGAATTTTGGAAAGTATTCGTCTTTTACACTATGATTTTAGTCAACAGATAAGTGATTTAACATTTTTATCCTCGAAAAGTTAGCCACGTGGTATGCGCGTGAGATATTTCCGACAAAAATCAATAGAAAAAGTGAAAAAGAACTTAAATTGATCCTTTTTTATTTGATAAGGACTAAAATTGATCATTTTCAATCTGAAGGACTAAATTTTCATATTTGTAATATATGAGGAACTACTTGTGTAATTCTCCCTACCGGTAAATGAAACCACCGTTTCAGAGAATTCCGAAGGATGATGCAGGGTTTGCGAAAACTTGCTTTTAATCAAAGTGAGAAGTTCCTCCTCCTCTTTCCCACTTCAGCCTTGTGGGATCGATTTTTGATAGAACCCACTAAGCTTCGCATGGAATCCCTTGCCAACCAAACTTAAATTTCTTCACTGGTTAGTTTGTACATTGTTCAAAGGTAACAAAGAAGTACCCACCAAAGCAATCAAGTAGAAAAATGGTTCAAACAATGGCTCAAAATCCATAGCCTGCGATTGCAAGGCATGACAATGACAATGACAATGACAATGACAACAACAATAGCTCGAGGCAGCTGGATATTCCTAAATAAGATCATCCAGAAAAACAATTCAAAACAACCAGACGCACCCTACACATGAATTAAACGTCAACACCCAACTATATCCAGTTTCAAAAACAACTATAAAATGTGATATTATTGAAAATTTTGCTGACGTGGTTGAACAAGGTAATATAGCCACCAAGTCCTTGTAAGCAAAACTAATATTACAAAACATTATAGCAAATACAATTTTTTTTCTCACTTTATAAGAATCCAGTCACCAAATGTACCCTCGCACCATTAGTAAATTTCTCAAAAATTACGACAACTAATCATAAAATGAACCAAAAAAGACAACCAAAACCATCCAATAGAACAAAAAACCTTAGTCTCACGAAGCAAACAGCTGCTGCACAACAATATCTTGTTCTTTTCCATAAATTTTTTTCAAGAAGCCAGATACACTTCTCACACGCTTCATGATAAAAACCAAGCCAAAAGAACCTGACATTGAAAAAGGAGGAACGTCATTTATCTATAATCTTTCAATTTCAAATATCAACATAAAGCATGGGAACCCTCTGGCTCTTACCGCCTATTAGAATATTGAACTACCACCCGTCAAGCTGTGTTGTTTTTCTTTGAATAAAGCAGCATAAGGAGGGTGTTTGTCACATAATACCTGGAAACACCAAAAAGGGCACAAAAAGAACAAATGATCCAAGACTCGACTCAATAGATGATATGCTGAATATTGACAATCCACAGTGGCAATAAAATCATACAGAAATCTAACAAGATTGGTGAAATGACAAGACAGAATTCTAATAGGCATTAACTATAGATCACGTATCCTTGGCTTTTCAATCAAAAGAGCTAAATGGTGCAGGATTTCAATAACAAACTCAGGACAAATCTCTAGCAAAGAGTAAGATATTCAATCTCAAAAGCATATATCAGTGCAGAAGATAAAAACCTCCAGTCTGTACTGATTGATGTCCAAATTCCAAATATAGCATTACAGGTCACAAAATAGTTAATCCTGTTACCACCAGTGTCCTTGGGTGCAAAACAGGTGCAAAGAAATATTGCAACATCTTCCAGTATTTCAATGCAAAATGCTTTTTCAACAAAAAAAGCTTTACAGAACATGTCTCTTTGATTTCAAGACAAAAAACAATCATTACCTAATCAGTCCATACACATCCACACAAGTTAAACCTTAGAGAGTATACACTCAGAATACTCAAGTGATCAGCTAATAACATTCTATGGATCCTCCCTCCCCCCCCCCCTCACCACCTGCATAATATACCCACCAAATAAATCAATTTCTCAAATGCAACAGTATAAGACAGAGAGACCAGAAATCCAACCCTGAGAAATTTAACGTGTATCGCAAACCAGAGTATAAAGCACATGATTACCAATAAGCACACTAACAAAAGTTAAAAATTCCATTACCAACCTAAAGTACTTCAGAGTACAATGGCAGCCCAAAGTGCACCAGATCAACAACTGGAGACAACAGAGGGCGTGGAAGGAGGCCTGCAGCACCATAAGTAGTACTCAAATTTTGCTACACCCACAAATGAAATACTTTGCTTGGGAAAATGTACAACTTGATAGCTTATTTAAACTAGGTCCACCTATCTAGTAACTTCACTGGTTAAATTTCATCTCTGAGTATCTGCACAGACAAAGAAGAAACAAAAATAAATAAATAAATAAGTTTACTACAATAGACTGGTTTAGTCAACATTTATCCACTTATGCAGAATTCAGCTGGGGGTGGGAATGGTTTAGTTCCTAAATGACACCGAGAGAGAGAGAGAGAGAGAGTAGTGGGAAGGAGAAGAAGATAGCCTAGCAGAAAGGGTCACACAAGAGCTAAAAGTTATAAGAAAAAATTGCAACTATCAACACCAAACACGAATAAGGCAAATGATCAGATATACCTGATGGGCTTCTTTTGTTGCTGTACAAAATCATCATTTGAGACCTCTGAAAATGGAAGAGAATGAATGAGCTATGATGAGAAATCATAAGATTGTCCCTGACAAAATATAGTCACAAACCCCGCAGGCAATAAAAAAGCAGCAATTGTATCTTACCAGGCCTCTGTGAGGGATTATTATCTAAATATTATATTGATCTTGTCAACTTATTCTTTATTTATTTGTATCTTTTTTCACTTTTTCTAATATGAAGTAATAATGCTCACAAAGTCCACGTTGTAACAAAGTATATATTAGCTATGCATATAGAATACTTCACATAGTATTTAAAGTAATACATCTACAACTTATACATAATTAATTATTAATAGAAACAGAATGCAGATCTTAGTAACATAATGTTTAATCAACTATGCATGATAAAAGCATAAATAAAAATACTAGTCACTTAGTTTATTTGGTATGTACTTTTAGATATTAAGTAATTTACAATTCTAGAGTTTGCTAATATCTGTTTAAATAATTAAATAATATTTATATAAACTTTTGATTACGACAGGCATATGGTATTTTCTCATGCTATATAGTTTGTCATGAATTTCCTAATGGGGCAAATAAATGAATAAATAAATATATCAAACAAGAATGAAAGTATAAGTAAAACAAAGCTACAATATTATAATAAGCATATAATTATTAATACTATTAGGAAAGTGAAGGAAATAGTGACACGAGAGAAGACTGCAAGTACAACTGCTGCAAGAAGACTGCAAGTAACATGTTTATGCATTTTACATTAGTAGGTCAACCAACCTCGCAAGGCATGTCTGAAAAAATAGTACACCAACTGATTAGTATACCGCACATCATAGGTAGAGAAAGATGCTTACTTGAATGGGATCCAATTGAGAGCTTTTCTCCACTATGCTGCTCTCTGCCTCAAAATTATTGTGAACATTTTTCTCATTATTCAGCATCTCACGAATTGGAAGAAGCATTTGGACAGCCTGCATTGAGCAGAAGGAAAGTATAGCACTGCCATTCAAGACGCAAGGGCAAGAAAAATACCTACTCCGCAAAAATGTACACTGCAGGTCACTGCCAAAATTGTATTCGACTCAGTCAGTTATTGTTATAACTTGTGAAACTTGCAACATCAGCAATGACCCACAGTCATCATTGATGTCACTAAACTGTCCTGCTGACTGATTCATATCGTCTAGATAACCAGTTTCTGAGGCAAGACAGAGTTGAACAGATGCAAGAAGGAATCTATTTCACAACAATTGCAGCTGTGCAGTCAGATACTTGTTTAGGACAAAAGTGCCACATCAATGTCAACAATATTTGTATTTCTTTTTTCTCCCTTTTCTTTTTGTATTTAATTTTTCTCTCTTCTCTCATGTGACCAAGTAATCTCTCCCCTATGCTATTATTATCTAAATATTATATTGATCTTGTCAAACTTATTCTTTATTTATTTGTATCTTTTTCACTTTTTCTAATATGAAGTAATAATGCTCACAAAGTCCACGTTGTAACAAAGTATATATTAGCTATGCATATAGAATACTTCACATAGTATTTAAAGTAATACATCTACAACTTATACATAATTAATTATTAATAGAAACAGAATGCAGATCTTAGTAACATAATGTTTAATCAACTATGCATGATAAAAGCATAAATAAAAATACTAGTCACTTAGTTTATTTGGTATGTACTTTTAGATATTAAGTAATTTACAATTCTAGAGTTTGCTAATATCTGTTTAAATAATTAAATAATATTTATATAAACTTTTGATTACGACAGGCATATGGTATTTTCTCATGCTATATAGTTTGTCATGAATTTCCTAATGGGGCAAATAAATGAATAAATAAATATATCAAACAAGAATGAAAGTATAAGTAAAACAAAGCTACAATATTATAATAAGCATATAATTATTAATACTATTAGGAAAGTGAAGGAAATAGTGACACGAGAGAAGACTGCAAGTACAACTGCTGCAAGAAGACTGCAAGTAACATGTTTATGCATTTTACATTAGTAGGTCAACCAACCTCGCCAGGTTTCTTGGCAGCGAGCAGTGCATTTGTAAGACCACGAGTTACTTCAAAGTCAATAGTTTTTGACACCTGTAAAAATATGTTTAAGCTTTGAACATTTCTTGAATTATGTATTAAACAAGGTAGACATCAAGCAATAGATTTTTCACAGTGGCTTTCTCTGCATGGCACCAAACAGAACTGGTTGTTCTAACTAACTATGAAAAAAAGGCAAAGCAAAGTAAAAAGCCATACTACAAAAGACATGCATTGAAAAGAACTTCAAAAGGGTGCTCCAGTGCATGACCTGACAAGAGCTTGATAGCAACACCACACAAATCATCACAACAAGAAGCTTTCCCTGGTTTTTATGGTGAAAACCATCTACCGAGTATCTCATACAAGTCATTGTCCCTCGAACCTAGTCTATAATATGGAAACTTTTACAGCATCAACTATCACAGAATGTGAAGCGTCCACTGAATACAAATAGCACTAACCATTGCCGAATTTCTATAGGCCCTGGCACTTCCTTCATAATCCTTGAGTTCATATTTAACTTCTCCTAGTAATCGGAAAACATCAGGATCACTTGGTTTCTTCTGAAGAACAAACAAGGTAAATTCGTAATAAGAGTGATGGACTAAAAAAAATCGGAAGACTAATATTTCTGTGTAAGTTATAACAGGTTAATCAAGAAAAACCTTCGCCAAATCCTCAAGGAGTGAGGCAGCTCGATCATACTCTCCTAATTCAGCTAGTGTTACTGCAGCCCCCTGAAAACCAAATTCAGAAGTTTGAAACCATGCATGTTCAAAAATTGGAAAAGGTAAAAAGACAATACCGTTCTATGTGGTGGTAATAATTAAACGGAATGGACAAGACAAGTATTATAAGAGTGTTGGCAGTTGTTATATGCATTCTTTTTATCCACAGTAAACTAAATGTTCAATAATGCAGGGAGATGGGTATATTGAGAGGGCCTTTCGGAAAGAAGATGAGGGAAATTCTGACTTCCTATGCAATAAGGACTATTCTGGAATGCTAGAATTGGGAGAGTTCATTTTGTTCCAGTTTGATACATTATGCTAGCTGATGCCACACATAACCGTCAACCTGTCATTGAGTTCTATACTTATAATGATGTTACATACATACTTGAATTTAATCCACCCCTGTTTCACTACTATTCCCCGTCTTTTCCTGTCTCACCATCCACCTGGAGCCTCATCCCTTCCCACCTCCTCAGTCCACCTGGTTCGAGGATGGATGCATTTTTAAGAAGCAATATGCTCAAAAAATTGTCTATCTAAAGTTTGTAAGCATTGTAATTTGTCATTTTGGCTTTGGAATTTGCAAGAAAATGGATATGACGAGATATGAAAGCTAGTAACTAACTGATTGTGTCTGAGGGCTGTGTAGCCTAAAACTTATGGAGGTTCACATAGTTTTGCCAAATTCCAGCTGAGAAGACTACCCAAAAGAATTGTGGACTTGACAGGATTATGTCAACAGGGTACTGAGTGAGAAGTCAAGCAAAAAATATGGATTTTTTTTTCTTTTTTGGGGTGGGGGGGAGGGTGTGGAGGTGGGGTGCATGAAAACTGGTACTCAGGTGCAGTTAATTTCAGGAACCAGGGAACCCCACCTCGATATTGTTATGGAGGTATATAAAAACCTTTCCATGATGAACGTAGCTAATACTAAAACAAATTATCACTGGCCTTAAGTCACTAGTTGCAGTGAACACGTCGCCATGAAACGTGTTCACCATGGATATTTTGGTTTGCTGTAGGTTATCAGAGAGACGATTTTAAACGGGGAAAAGCCTCAAATGAGTACAATGACACGAATTCAATGATACACCACAAAAGTTAATCAAATGACTGTGCAGACACTTGAGACCATACAGAGCACATTCAGATGAGGCCATACATATGAATCTCAAACATCAAAACTCACTTCAAGAGCAGTGGGATTGTCTTGGGAGATGCTCAGCGTCTGCTCAAATTGCTGCAGCCTCTTCTGGAAAATAATCAAATCGTATAGTATCCAAATGCATACAATAACTTTGCACTTAACAACAAAAAAAGGGTATATCTAAGTGAGGCCTTTAAAACACAACATCCAACAATGAATCAACAACATTTCCCATTCAACTGCACCAACAATTCGTCCAAAATAGCTTCTTAACTAAAATCAGCATAATAGCCAAACATAATTGGCAAAGGCTCTACATCTGACTAACCTATTTATTATACACCAGGAACATGTTAAGACCCGGTTTGGTGTAGAGTTGACAGCCCATTTGAGAGCAGCATTTGAACAAGATGCACAAATGCTAAATCCACATTTAATCAAATGCTGCTCTTCCCTAACTTCTGTTCACATGATTCTTCAACCACAGATTTCAAGAATCTTGTTGGGCAGATGCTACAACAAAACTTTTTTATGAAACATGTTAACAGACTATATGTATGAAGGCATATATGGATGAACCATTTTTTTAACAAAATGCTATTAGTAAATTTCTTTTAACAAAATGCCTTTTTTTTCCGTACAAAGCTATGGAAGAAGAAAAATCTACTTATGTGCACAACCTAACTCATCCAATTTCTTTCCCAAACATCCAAACAAAGAGAGAACTTAAAAGATTTCTCTTCTTTTTCTCTCCTAACTTAGATTTTCTCTTATTTACTTTCCTCTAATAACATCCCAAACTTAACTTACTGTACATTTCTAAGCACACTTTTTCTAGCAAACTACATAAAGGCATACTTTTTGTGCGTTCTAAACTAGAAAAGAAAAGTAAATTTCAAACCGTCTGGGGGGGAAAATTGCAAGCTGTCTGGAAAAGTAAATTTCTAGACATGTCCAGCATTTTACCTTTAGACTTTCTCTCTCTTTAGCTGAAAATTTTTCAACAACAGTGGTGGCTTCTTCGGTCGGAGTAATTCTGGAACAAAAAAAGAAAAATCATGATCAAGTTGCCTCTTTCAGTACCACAACCGGTGGATAGTTCTGAAGGACAAATGACAGTAAAAATACAGGATACACTATAATGCTTAGTTATTTTGAAGCCTGTGTGAATTGATTCTCAAGTAGAAGGTGGATTTTGCTTTATTTTAGCTAAGCAGTTGTTGCAAGCCATATAAGAGCACAGGCATATTTAAGCAGCACCTCGAGAGAAATGCTTTCTGTTTTCATAGAACTCGTGAACATGATCATGCAATTCATAGTCCCAAAATGAGCCCAATGAAGTAAAGATGCATCAGAATTCATGTATTTCACAAACGAATCAAATGAGTTACAAATAGAGAACTTTCCTTCCCATAACCTTCCAATTTAGACCAGTCAAGGAAATTTGGCAACAATTTATTAACCATTAATAGGCCATTATGTACTTTCGCGAGAAGAAATTATCCACCCCAGTACAACCAGGGAACATTTTTCCTGCATGACTAGCAAATGCATCTCCTACTCTTCAGTATGATGTCTATATTGACATGAAAGAAACAGGAGGACTAACACTAACATATGGTAAAAGGAAATTACACATTAGACAAACTATAGAAGATCTGAATGAATTTTGAACTAAAGCTTGAGGAACTGCATAAGCCTTACTTTTCAGAGGGAAGAAAGTCCCCAAAAGCAAAAACAAGTCCAAAGATCAAGGCTGTGACTGCAGCTCCAATCTGTCCAATTCAAAATCATAATAACAGATCATATCAGAGGTGTAAACTACACTGCCTTTTAGACCGTAGTCAAAAAATACATCAGCTCATGCTGGAGTATTACCTTAGTACCCAGTCCAACAGTATTACTTGTGGGCACAGTTGGAGTCTCGTAATCAATTGCTCCATATTGTTCCTCTTCTTCTGCCTGTTTTTGCTGGAGTGCTGACCTAAAACTTAAAGAAGCATTATTCAATAAATACTCCCTCTGTCCCAAATTCATTGACGTGTTTAGGGACTTGTGCTTTTTTTAAACAGTGCCCAAATGTTGCTTTAGTTTCTCTATTTACCCTTCAATATACTGGTGATAAGAAATGGCATAAGTCAAACAAAATTGATGTTGCACGCTCTGTTGATAAAAGAGCCAAGAGTTTGTTGCACGCTCTGTTGATACTAGAGTTAGTGCAATTCATGCTCTAAAATTGTGTACAAGACAACAAAACACATGGGGCCCAACTCATTTCCTTTGTCAGTTCATACTCACATGAAACGCAAATGTGTGCAAACATGCTCCTTTTTTCCATCACATGTATCAAGGTGGTGCAATTCACACATGGATTCTTAACAAAAGTCAAAAGAAATCTGATGGGCCAGCACCTGAGATTAATTGGAAGGTATAAATGGAAACTAGATGAAAAATTGTTTGCCATATTTAGAAAGTGACATATTTTGGGACAGACCAAAATAGAAAGCATGACACTTTCAATGGGATGGAGGAAGTAGTTGTTTAAATGCAGATGGTTAACAAGGAAAACGTCGAAAGCAAATGCAACAGAAAATCAACAATTTGGCAATTAGCTACTAGGATGACACATATGCCATGGTCTTGGTAAGGGGAAATTCTGCAGTTAAGTCTGACAAAGGGCTAAACAATTTCCAAGATAAAGATTGCACGTGTACTTACAGTTTTGATGGTGGCAGAAAATAAGACACCATTATAATCAACTCGAAAACCTTTATAATTTTTAGCTATCATAGTAAAGGTGATTTCTCATGGTGCTGTCATTCAAACGATCAAGGGATAATACATTGTGCTTAACAGATGTGAGACTTGATGGAACTCTAATACAAGAGCCGGAATTGTACATTTAGATAAGAAAAGGAAAAGGGAAAAAGACAAGCTGTTCTGGGACACAACAACAACTGTGGCACAGCAAATGCACCAGCATTTGTGCATGTAAAGAAAATCAAACTTGGTCGACGTGAACAGCAGTCTGTTACAATAAACAAGAATGGAGACATTAAATCAACAATAAAGGTCATAGTACGGATCACCTTTTAACTGCTTCTAGCCGTTCCTCAAACTGAAAGTCTGTGGGAATATTCCCTGATCTTCCATCACTTTGAGAACTCAAAAGCAGTGCCTCTGTTGAACCAGAGGAGGAACAGTATTAATGATGGTGTAGAACTATCTCGATCAAGAAGATTTAGAAACACAATCTGTTGAACCAGCAAGAAGATTCACCTGGCTGATCATTGTGGACATAAGTTTCAAAAAACAAGAAGATTCAGAAAAAACACTTTTGGTTTCAGGGGTCCAACAAATTAATAAATAGGGAAAACATGGATGATTGCCCATAGTTGGCTATATCAAAGTTTCTTTGTTTAATTTTTAACAAGAGACAGAAAAGAACAATCGCAATAGCAACGAATAAAGTGGACAGGTCATACTGACTCACTTGAATCAAGATTTGGCTTCGGCTGACTGATCAATAATATTATTTATGCAGCAACAAGAATCAGCTCAAACGCAAGTAACATTAACCACACAAGCGCGCAAACAAACCGAGAGAAAGAAGCAATGATTACTCACGATTAGGAATGTTGTTGGAGCGATTAGAGGATGATTTCCTGCACCAAATAATAGTAAAAATCAGAAAACGGGTTATGTGCAAATGATTTTAGATGAAAACTACACAAAGCTAACACTGGCTCATGAATCCATTTAAGTGTTCAAAAATATAGAAAAAAGATGGAGTGGGTCAATAAACTTTCCTTGCAACTAGACATATAGTAAGTACACCCAATTAGCTAATTTCCCCATTTGCCTCTCAATCTCAATTCAGGCTTTTGAACTATTGATATCAATATTCAGTTATAGTTAGACCTGCATTTCCTTAGAACCCTGCAATGTTTGAGTTTTGGCTTTTAAAAGACATCTAATTCTTGCGCCCCGGAGAGGGGGGGGAACAAAATGTTGTCATGCAAAGTAATATAGAATTGCACGCTCTACAGGAATCTCAACAATCGATTGTAAATAAGGAGGTAGACAGCAAAACGGGGTTAACGACATAGAAAGTACCACATGGCAAAGTTTAAAGTCGCACAACGTGACAACTATGATAAAAAGAATCAAGATAGGCGTGGGGGGAAATAATTGAATGCCAGCAATATGATAGTACAATGCAATAATGCTTTTTCAACGTCTGTTATGTGATGGGAGAAGGGTCGTACAGCCTTGGAAGGGGGAGGGGGAAGGAAAAGAAAGATGATAGAGTATAATAACACAGAAAATGGGGAGGATTGTAGCTACCTTATTGGTGGCACCGAACTCTTGCTGTCATCCATTCTCATTCTCGTTGGTTTCTGATGAGAGTCAAAAACAAGGAGAAAGCCTATTGCTCAGGCAATAAAGCAAAAGACTGAATCACATTTTGGTGACAGCTATAGAGTTGGCAATGAAAACATACGAGTTCTACACCAAATTTGGTGTCATAGGTGAAGCAACTAAGTGCTAGTTAGTTAGGAATTAGGATGTAGTACTAGTAAGTAACTGACCATCAGCAAAGAGATACCAAGCAAAGGCAAGGCAAGCTCCAGTTACCCCTTTTTGTTTTTGAACCAGTTATACTAGATTAAATTAAATACGGTTGTCAAACAACCTAAAGGATACCTTATCCTTACTAGTAGTAGACAATGAAGGACTGGGTTTTGGACCAAAACCCCGAGCCGGGGGGTTTGGAGTTGAACTTGAAGAAGGAGAAGATGATGATGAATTTCCCGAATCGGAACAGTGTAATCGAAATCCAATAAGCCGGTGTGGGTGCGGTCCCCTCGAATTACGCGAATAATCAACAGCAAATGAGAAAAAAGGAGATGATATGTTGACGACGCGGTGCTTCCTGGAGGAATCGTTGTTCCCTTTTGCGGCGGTGGTAGTGTATGCAGTGCTTCCATGCACAACTACGATGCGTGGAGAAGAAGCCGTTGCGGACATGGTCATCTTCAATGCACCCTGTCTTTCCTGGTCTTCAAACTCTGGAGTTGAGAACTCGTTGGTGGCTCGATGCCCACCACCGGAAGCCTCTTTAACTAAGAATAAATCCAGACGGATGGATAAGAAAGAAGCCGTGCCTCTTTAACTAGCACTTTAATGATTAATCCCCGTACTTTACTTTCACGAGCACTTGGAATCCTCGGTGACATATTTTTTTATGTCAATTCAATGTCACCTATAATATTGCATCAAGTGTCCTATTATTATTTACACTTCAATTTTCTAATAATTCAATTTGATTTGATTTAACATAAGTGTAAATAATAACAGGATACTCGACGCAATATTATAGATGACATTAGATTGACATAGAAAATATGTCACCGAGAATCCCAAGTGCTTTCCCGAGTCCTTCATGTTTATGCCTGTGATTCCTTTGTTCTATTAGGGCCGCTTGGTAAGAGAGTTTGGGAATCAATAATTGGAATCACCGTCATACTTGTTGCTGGACAAAAGGGCATGGTATTGAAATTTGGAACGAAATCACAGAAGGGTATGGGTATTGAAAAATTGGAATGAAATTTAAAAATGCGGTGACTCTCAAATCTCAATTCTCGACCATACCAAATTTGATTCCCAAATAAAGGGGTAATTTCATACTTGGTTATTATAATTGTAGTCACCTCCCCTAAGGTTGTAAAAATTGCACTTACCTTTCTTGATGCTATGATAATACCATAATAGCCTTCACAAACTTTACAAATTTGATGTGAAAAATAATTTTAAAAGAGAAAAATGGAAATTCTTTTTTAGCAATACTTCTTTATCATAAAATTCTAGCGTCATCTAATCTAGTATATTATACAGCATTCCTAATTTTTTTAAGTAGATTTATTAATCAATTTATAAAAAATCGACCAACAAATTAGGGCTGCATTTGTTAAAATAAATATTTTAAAAAATTACTTAAACAACAAAAATGACCTAAGTAACAAAAAAGAATGCTTTCAAAACATGGTTCTAAATTTTCCTACAAAAAAAAAAAAGAATTTAAAATTTTCACCTAACGGATAATGGTGATAGTTGACTTTTTAGCATCTAATTTGTTTTACATATCAAATAGGGGTAATATTGGATATTCATTGATTTTCTTTTTCCTTCCATCATACTTTTTATAAGAGGTTTTTCATAATTTTGCAAACATCAGGGAAAAGTGGCTGCAATTGTTATAAACTTCATGAGAGGTTTTTGAAATTATCCCTTAAATGAAATATAAAAATTCAAAAATAAATGGGAATCTTCTCTCACCTAAATCTTGCTTCCCACTCTGCTTTCTCTCTTGATCGCTCCTACATCTTTATCGGACTGCTTCCACCCCTTCCTCATCATTCCGTATAACGCACCTTCTCACATTTTCTTCTTTTTCATCGCCGACATCCGATATCGTTCTTCACTCGTCTTCTTATTTCAAACAAAATTCTGCTACTTTTTCTAGTTTAGTAAAACTACAAGGAAGTTCTTTAAAAACTTGACTATCAACAGAATTTCCATCTAAAAACAATAATTGACGATGATGAGATTTGACGGTAGTTTTAACTACAAAAGATACCTATTTTTGAGTCAAAGAATATGATGAATTTTGAATTTTGATCTATCTTAGATTGGAAAAATTTGGAAATCTTAAGACTAAATACAATAATTATAGGAGCTCAAAAGTAGTACAATTAATTGATATTCTATCTTTGAGTTTGACAGTAGTTCTGCCTCGAGAAAGAACTGCAATTAGTTGGCCAATTATTTAAAATTAAATATATTGTAACAATTCTGTATCATGATGTACATGAGATGAAAAGGTAATTAGAGAAAATAAAAAATTTGTTAGAAAACGTGTTTATAATTTAACAAAACTGTTTATTTCTTAAAAATGACTATCCTAGCGCATTTTTTTTGGGCATTAGGTAATTAAGCACAATTAAGATTGTGCATGATTGCATTTAATTTGTTAAGATGTGTTCGATTTTATGCATATAAATTGATTTTGGAACCACTTGGTAATGTTTATGTTTCCTGTATTTTTCTGTATGGATTTTAATCAAAATAAGAAAACATAGTTCATTGATATATTATTTGGCTTTACATGGGAAAAGAAACGTTCACAAGAATGAGGCTTGCTTTCGAAGCACAAAAAAGGGGCAGATTTCTTTAGACGGGGTATTATTTGCAAAACTAATTTGATTTTATAATAAATATTATATCTAAATTACATTTTTATCTTCTTAATCACCTATTTATCTTACATACATTGTCATGAAAAGTGAAATAGTATTATTTTAAATATTTTTTCCTAATAATATTCTATCCATAAATTTTAATTTTTAACTACATAGTTAGTGTTTGGTGGTGAGAAAAAGGGAAGGATAATGGAAGAAAATAACTTTTCTACGAGTTTTTAATGGGAAATTTATAATGCCCACCACATTTTTTTTGTAGCAACTCTTTTCCTTGTAAACCTTTTTCTGTAGAAATTAATATAGAAATGTTTCAAACAATTGAATTTCTTTTACAATTTTTCCTTTCTAAACTATTTATTCCACCCTAAAGAGCTACATAAATTTGAACATCTTACAACTTATAATCAAATTATTAGATATTTTATTCTTATTTTATACATTTAATAAATTAGTAATTTGTTGAATTTAGATTACATTAATATTCTTTTACATTTTATATTCTTTTTTTATATCCATATATGTGTGAAATGGCTTATACATATGCAAATAATACATATATATATGCTATATATCTACATATTTATATATAAACTTATTGTTAAAGAATGTGAGTGGATTTGAGGTAAACAACTCTTCTAATATGCAAAACTATATATATTACATGTTTTTATATATTTTAACTTTAAATACAAAAAAGAAGAAATTCAACATAGAAATTTTTTAATTAACAAACAAACTAGACAATTTTTTTCATGACTTTTCAATTAAACAAGCACAAGCATTTGTATTTTTTTGCATCATTTTCTTTATAACCAAACACAAGCAAAAAACTTAGATCTTGTTTAGATTATTATTTTCTAGAGTTTTTATAGAAAATTATACTGTAGTAATTTGATGTATGTGAGCTGAAAAAATAATTGAGAAATATATCCACAAAAAATGTATAATTTTTTTAGAGAAAAATTGCAATCTAAACAAGGCGTTTGTTTTATTTTTCTATATGTCACTTCATTTCACTTTTCACAGGGGCACGCTTCCTTCCACTGCATTTCCATCATATAAACAGGACCTTTAAAGAATACACTTTCTGGATTTTTTTAATGGTAACCTATAGCCCAAAGAGGGATTTTAAATCCCTTTTGATTGCCAACTTACCAAAGACAGGTTGGTTAATTATTTGGACATAATTGGCCTATTACCAACCAAGGCTTGATTGGATTTTTATTTATGTTGGAAAAGTTGTATAGTATAATTTGTAGAGAATATTCGTTTGACATCGATTTTTAAAGAATAGCTATTATTTACACAAAGTTATTTATTTGCATTGCAAATATATTTTTTAATATAGTTTTTTTATCTTAATACATCACTATAAAGTGTTACAGTAATTATTTAAAATAATCTTTAAAGGGATAATTTCATAAACCTCTCATGAGATTTCTAACAATTTCACTGAGCTCCCATAAGATTTAAAAAATTACACTTACTTCCCTTGATTTCATAGTTTTGGTAACAAAACCTTAAAATAATATTGATTTTGACAAATTTTTAAATGAATATCCAAAAATGCCCTTGTGAAATGAGTTTTAATTTATTTTTCTATACAATTATAAGATTATTTAGTATAATTATAAGAAAAAGGTGTCAAATTTTTCATGTCCATATCTACTATTTGATAAACAGTTATATTAATAATTGTATTACTATGATATGATATTTTTGATAATATTTTATTATGGCTTTAGATTTAAAAGATAGAAAAGAAAATGTTGAAATAATTCATGCTAAATAAGAGAATTTCATTAAAATATTTAAAGGTAAAATTGTCATTTTAAATGATAAGGGAGATATGTGTAATTTTTCAAACTTTAGAGAACTCAGTGAAATTGTTAGAAACCACAGAGGAAGTTTCTGAAATTACCCCAACTTTAAATAAACTTCTATCCAATTTTTGAGGGAAAAAAAAATCCTAAACACTTGGTGAAAAATTTGCAATCCGGACCGGATTTGAAAACAGAAGGAATGTTCTTGTACTCTCCTAATTTTGTAGGGTGCACAGTTCAGGTGAGCGGCGATCACCTATTCACCTGCATAGCAGTTGGTGTTCGGGCCAACCCGACCTGTTAGCTGGAAGCTGCTGCTGCTTTTGTTGGCCGTCTTTTCCAGCGACTGTCTTCGCCTGTGGTTGTGGGGTTGTTCCTTCTTAGTCTTTCATTACATACCTGCTACAGAGGCTTCAGCAGAAGCAAGACAGCCCAACGGTTTTTGGCTGAGGTAAAATGTTTATTTATTCATCTCTCCTCCCACCTCCACCCTTCCTCTCTGACTTCTTAATTTATTTCGGTGGCTCGGTCGTATTTTCTTCAACTGTTTGTTTCCACCTGCTGATTGGGCTCAAGTTCCAGCCTTTTAACGCTCCTTAACTGATTGGCCCTATTTATTGGAGTTTTATTGCACTAATAAAGTAGAATTCATAGTTGTCCGTGTCCCTGATGACTTGAGTTGCCACTCTTTCATAATCTTAAATGCATTTTCCGAATCACAATTTCCATTCCTTCTATCCTTTTTCTTTTCTAATTTGCTCTTTTTCAGGCGACCTATTGACGTGGCAACAGCAAGTGGATAATTATAAACTCTTTGAAATCTCACGCGAAGATGATTTGTACGTGAGTGACTCTCTCTCTCTCCCTGTTTCAGCTGAATTTGTTCTCTTTGATGCATTAAAGAAACAGAAATGTAGTCTTTTCCTGTTTGCTCTGCATACTCTCAGTCCCGACCCCGTTAGTAGTTGTTACTTGCATGGACTTTTATGTTCCGTGCTGATCATTTGTCGCAATGCCCGCGATTGTTTCCTGAGATATCAAGTGTTGTTCTGCAG